ATCTTCATCCATTCTCTATCCCGCACCCAGAGGCTGTGTAGGAGAATGAAACCACGAAATGAACGCTATAACCATAGTGAGCGAGCGGCTGTAGAGTGACAAGTGTGGCTAGACAAAAGTTATAATCAAACTTATGTGAACGCTATTCAGACAGGAGGGCGCAGACGAAAACAGGAAATTGCAACATCCGACGGATCGATATCAAATTGTCCTTATACACGAACAGGGTACGGCATCCTTGTGTGGAATCATGGGCGGTCGTACTTTTCCGCTGAGGAGGTCGTGTTTGGTCGTTGTTGGGAGAGGGGGAGGGTCGTATGTGCTTTTGAGAGAAATTGTCCGTGTTGGGAAGAAATTTTTCCCGGTTGTTGACTTTTTGTGATTTTTTTGTTTCATGTGCACTACATGCCCCCCCCCCGCTCGACGGAAAATTTTCGGGTGAAACGGCGCTGAAAAATGTAGGGAGATTGGTAGGTAAGTTTTGGGGAAGGGGAGGGTGTCGTACCAAAACCCCCATTCAAGCTGGGGGTCGTACTGACACCCTCTGTTGAAGGCGGGGGGGGGTCGCACCTACACTACCATTGCACCATCGCGATGCTGTACCCTGTACCCGGATCTCGGACAGCATTATAAACGCCACTAGTAGGAATCTGTTTCTCAACTCTTTCACTGTAACTTTTGTGTGGAAGCGTTGTTTTGAGAATGAATAGGAGGAGAGAATACTACAAATAATTCTATCTACGGAATTCGTTTTTCCTGGGCATGAGACACACTTATTGATGCGAAGGTGCGCCTTATACCCTGGACAGTACAGGTAATTTTTTGATAGAAAACAGTGATAGCGCCCGAGTGTGCTCAACTAAATGTGCTTTGAAACTCAGTGCAGTGAGTGCAGTGAATCTTTGTGCAATTCCAGGCTTCTTCAGAGAACAATGATGAATAGTCTCTTGATGATAATGTTGGTCAGGAGGCCCACGATTTGGCGGGTAGACGGGCAAGAGAATCGTGAACTGCCGCTTCGTCGCGCGCGGCAGTGGGTGCGACGTCTCCTTAATTTGCACACCTTTTCGACTGGAGCATCGTCTTTCATGTAGACAAGGATATGATAGACACTTGAGTCTTCATACGTTCTCTATTCTCGACCAATACTAAGATCGTCATTATTAGCGGGCGCGACGTCGCAAGTCTACGCCCACTACCATTACGGTTCTCTTGCCACATACCCGATTTGGCGAAGCCACATTGCAAGTAGTGCACGACATTCGCTCCAGGACGGGTGGGAGTTCAAAGCTGAAATGCTGCGGCGTGTGGAGTCAACTAGTTAGAAAACTCTCTGCAGGTTTCTGTGCATTACCCCGGCATGAATCTGCTCATCGACTCGCGGTGCTCAGCATACCCATTACACCAGGCCTTCATCCAGTGCAGCATTTTCACCTTTTCGAGCTAGTAGCTAGCTAGACGGAACAGTGTGGCCATCAACTTGGGCGGGTCAACTTCTGCTCTTCTCCGCCCACATTTGAGCCTGTCCCTTGCTGGACGGTGAAGCAATTACAGCCACATACGCCCGTCGTGACATCAAAATTTCCCATTGGTGATGCATTAATATTACAAATTGCTGCACATTAAATATTACAAATTTGCTCGAGCAAACACGCTTGTTATCTTCAACATCTGGTGAATATTATTGTTAGCGCATTTTTAATAATGTCTCCTGAGGTATCGAGTTGTTCCCGAGAAAGCGCTCACTCATTCCGATGGAATATGATGCGAAGGCTGTCATTTTGATCTCATTATTAAAGACTGATAGAAGACCCTAATAGCTCTTGAACGCACTTTTTATATCCCGTCGGTTAGACTCTCCGCATAGCGGCTGCCCTTTTCGGTGCGAGCGCATGGTTCATTAACATTTCGTTCACTGGAAAAGACACGTGAATAAACTCAAATCCCTGGTGAGTAGGCGAAGCGCATATAGTATAAATTATTCGAGATCGTCCGTTCAGGCGGATTAAGTCTTCCATCTCTCCAGAATTAATTGATTGGGACCAGGTTTCATCTAGAAGGATAGACAATACTGCATTGCCACATTGGCGTGCTCAACCGCAAATCATTACATAGGGCTAATTGCGGCCGCCGGACTTTCGCTGCTTATCATTCTCGTGTTCAAGAGCTGACAGGTATTCTTAACAAGAGTTGACAATTAGCCTCTCACAGACTTTGACAGGTGATTATGATTTCATCAGAGTGCAAATTCTCGCCCCCCCCCACCCCGTCGCAGAACGGTGCTTAAATCGCTTCCATCTGCGATTCCGAATCGCATTCCCAGCGAAGCCTAGTCTGTTGCTCCAGAGCTTATTTTTCGGCATATCATATTGAATACCATTAGGTTCCTTTGAGGTGAGATTATTTGCTTTCAGCTCTACTGTTTGGACTTAAAACGCGCACAACAATCTAGCATGCCTGTCACTTACTTCACTCCCAAAAACCAATTAGAGCGATCTCTGGAAAACTTCCCACGCCGAAAAACAACTCTGGAAATAAGGTTACCGACCATTGTGTACCCAGAATCACACTGAGCCACAGGGCCATAAAACCTCCAGGAACGAAACTGTAGCTCAGTCTACAACCAGTGGGGAATTTCTGTTGGAATCTAACTAAATTTCGACAATTGGGATAGTGAAAGATGAATAGTGCCGTCCCTTCATCAGCTCCTTCACGGCATTACGCTTTAGCCTGACCCATATAGCCTTTCATCCATCGGAGCCAAGCCTTGAAGCACTTTGAAATATGATAGCTTCTGAAGGGCAAGTATCAATGTTTAGCTCTGAGGCTGATCTCTGGTGCCAGCGATGGTGCCCTCCACTTCATTCATGCTAGACATCTACCAAGTGCATGCAATTTCAGAGGGTTCGGTCCGTGTAAAAACAGCTGGGAAAGGGCATCCGGGCAGATGGAAGTGGAAAAGCTCTCATCGAATCACAGATGAAGATATCATGCGTGTGGTATTAGAGGAAAAACAAAACAAAGAACGTGCATATCCAATCCAAAAGGGCAAAATATTAAGTGGATTCGATTTCATTAGTGGCAATTCATTTCTTTATCGATTCCTTTTGGAAATTCCTTTTATTAGGATACGGTAACATGGGAAAATCCCATTGAATGGGAAGTTCTTCGGAGCGTTTCTTGGAAAACACCGTAAATGTTTTATAATCGCCAGCTAGTGTAAATAATTAAAGTGGGGTTTGACGAAGGGCGACGTGGGTCCTGGGCACAAATTCCTTCGGTCAGCAAGACCCTTCGTCATTTTGAAGTGGGTGAATTGGTATGAGGACTGATTAGAAAGGTAATAACACAGATTTTGGCTAAACACCGTTATATTGGCCAAATCACATTCAGCTGCTACAAAGGAAAGTAGAACGCGTGGCGCATCCCAGAAAGGGATTAACTGAAGTTCAGCACTTCAAAATAAACTAATGGAATAACTCAAGCTCATAGCTGTCAGGGTTAGCAGCTGCCTGAATCCCAGATCTCATCCCATAGGAATCCCAGAGGTCAAAAAAGGGGCGTTATCCGAGCAACCTGAGTTAACATGGGACCTTAAAGCATAGACTGGCATCAAAAAAACCATTCAACGTGAATCAGAAGATTTAAAACTACCGAAAAATCATACATTTTCCCCATACTCCGTCAGCGGTCCGGTCAGCCTCCTAGTCTTACGGTACCCCCCGGGGGGGGGGGGGGGGGGGGGGGGGGGGGGGGGGGGGGGGGGGGGGGGGGGGGGGGGGGGGGGGGGGGGGGGGGGGGGGGGGGGGGGGGGGGGGGGGGGGGGGGGGGGGGGGGGGGGGGGGGTTCAATAATTATCGGGGCTCTATGTTTTTCTTTATAGGGGTCTCACACCTTTGGGAGGAGATGAGGTCTCGACCTCCAGCCATAGAGCTCTTCACGCCTAAATATATATATAATAAAAAATTTTCGGTTCCCATCAGAGCTTCCAAGGTGCACTCACTTGTGACAAATGAATGAGAAACACTCACCTCTCCAACAGCCCACACGTCGGATAACAAAGGTTCCTCTCCTCCTCCTGTTTGTATGTGCAGCGCGTCATAACGCGGAAGTATAAGCACTGAACAAATTTAATTTGCACTCCCGAGAGGACACGGAGATCACAAAAGATGTACGCGATGCAAATAAGGAACGCAAAGTAATCACTGAGCACAATGAGAATCACACTATTCGTAGGTGGTACGGCTTATACGGGTAGGGATATAATCCAATGAGCTGAAGAGCTATTATACTAGCTGAAGATTGGGAAATAGACAACTCTGTTTACGGCAGCGTGGAGCAACTAAACGAATACTGCCAGATGTTATGTGCGGGGTTTTCCAGAAACAAGATTCTTAGCAATTGCGCAGAGCAGCGAGCCGTGCGAGAATGGGGTGTCAGCTTACGGTGGCTAAAGGTGTGCATCATGCTATATTGGAGTAGTGAGCAAGCAAAAGTATTAAGAAGTGTGCCAAATTAATTCTATATGCCGTACATTGATAATATTTAACTAATCTGCCAGTGTCATAGAGATATCTGCTGATGCGTATCATGTTGCGCGTGAGTTGTTACTAGTATTAATTGAACTAAAGATCGATGCAGTACATAAAGACGCATGTGCTTATAATTACAGTCAGTTAACTACAAGGTACTGTGAAGAAGAGAGAGAGTTACTACGAGAGGAAGTATAGCTAGTATATGAGCTTAAGTGAAAGAGGGAGCAGTGAGCGATGAGGAGATGTGCATTGTTAGTAAGTGTTGTTGAGATGCACGGTTGTATAGAGTCGAGAGAGATAGTGCGAGAGTAGTCACGCGACACGATGAAGTGATTGATGTGCGCAGTGAGCAGAGCTGCATATTAGTGTTGGAACGCGTGGCTGGAAAACTATTTGTACGTGGAGGACATGTGAAGCCCCGTCACAGTTCACAGCAAGAGTAACAGTGACAGAGCGGCGAAGAATTCATCTGATACAGGGTAGCTTTGCATAGATTGCCCTATTAGAGGGAGTGAGATTCCTTTTTGAACTGACCTCTCTGGTGTAGATGAATGTAGATGATATCTTCCATATTTACGATGAGAGCCTGCTTTCCATAACCACTGTTGTTCGGCCTCTTTACCAGAAGCGGATGACGGCTGTGAACTGAAGAGCCAGGGTAATCGAGTGTCGTGGAGGCGCTAGTGGGGCACAGGCACATGATCTTGTACTTTGCGTGCTAAGAGGTCCCTAATGACGTGGACAAATGACATCAACATATCATAGTTAATCACACTGTTATGAGCGATCGTCCCATTAAAACAAACATTACTCAGCTTCTCTTCTCATTTTAACACTGTGCCTATGTGAAGCGTCATCATCATTAAGATGCTAATGAATCTCGCATCGCCCTGTCCTTAATCCATAAAAGTCGCACGTGCTGCCGCCTGAGTCATTATGAGTGTCCCAACTGAGCAAACCTGGCGTGCATCAGCTGATTCGGAGTCCATCTCAGTGACAGCTCTCCCTCGTAGCTCTTATGCAGAGATAAATAACCTGGAATACGATCTAAAACAACTCCTCACAACCATCCATGAACTCTACCTAACTGCTACTTTGGGAACACATCCTATCAACGTTTGGGCGGGGACTGTCAACCATGGCACATTCCTCAACGGCATGATCCTCGTTCTAAGGCGGTAGCTCAGATGGGCGCGCCAACGAGGAACGTTATCTAGTTGACTGTCACGAGCCATGCCCACCCATACGAATAGCGGGCGTGAGCCCTCAGGTGAGGAATAAGTGTGACGCGAATAGTTTACTCACCTTTAACGGGTGGCTGATCACCATTAGCCACACAGACATTATTTTTGCCATAGAGTAGACTGGATTTGAAGTTGTGATGGAGGGAGTAGACGAAATCTCTGCTCAGAGAACTGTTATCTGTGCTGACGATGCTGCTTCCACGGCGAGTTGTCTGAAAACGTCCTTTTTCTTCTTCAAGTGCACGCACAGTCCTTTAGAAGTACTTACTGTTAGCACACTATCTCACTGGAGAGGGTGTGAAAAGAACCAGTTGATAAAAGAGAATGAGCGGAAAGGAGCGCGGTCATTATCCTGGAAACTAAGCTGTGGTTAGCTGCATGCTAGCATCGATTGTACGCGCAGAATCAAGAGCTCTTCTAAAGCGCATAGTTGAGTTGAAGTGTGAATGATAGCTTCTCGAAGGCAAACTGTGCGCTTACCCCTCCATGCATTCTGGTCCTTACAACGTGTGGGGTGAATGGGTCTGCAGCTGCAGTAGGCTGTCAGTTTTCCCAACCAAAAGTGGACTCATACGAGGCTGGAGGGTGTTTTTACTCTCTGCCGTTTCTGGACATCGCCCACGCTGCCGCATGGCCGATCGCAGCTCAACCATAACCGAACGCGCTACTTGTCTGCGCCCTCGGTTGTTCACTGTCTCTGACTGCATACTCTGCGCAATCTTGCAGCACCCTGAGGACAATGGGCGGAGCTCCAGACGGTACCCACCAGCCTTCTTGAATGACGAAAGTTACTGTACAGTTGCCGTTAGTGTACAGTTGGGAGCCCCCCCCCAACCCCCAACAGCGCTAAGAACAACGATAATAAAACACAGCAAAGGGGCTAATGCCGTTTGGACTCCAGAAATTTCGTCTTCGAGCTCATTTTAAAAGTGGCAAGATCACCAAATCCGCTAAAAACTTGTATATAGGGT